GCCGCGAGTTTGTCATAACAGCGCCCGCAGCGCGAGCATCTGCATTTCTGCTCGCGGAGCCCGAAGCCGCGAGCACTGGACTGGAAAGCCAGCCGCAACTTGGAAAGTCGAGTCGGGCGAAAAGGGGGGATAGCAAAGGGGGGGGTGAGAATCAACTCACGTAGTTAATTTTCCCGGGGCCTCCTGGCGCCAGAAGGAGCCATGTCTCGAGGAATGGGCCCGTTTGCGAGGCCGAAACCAGCTGCACGCCGCAAATTTCGCACCCCACCTTTTTCCAATCCCCCCCTTTTGCCGCCCCGAAAAAGATGCGGACCGCGGATCGCGCGGCTGCGATGGCCTCTCTAACGCGCCAGCTAGAATTTGCGGCGCCCTTCGGCGGACGCGAGCGCAGGTGGGCGCCCATCGACTGAGCGCAGGGGGCGCCCATCGACTGAGCGTCGCGCAGGTCCGCGGGGGGCGCCCATCGACTGAGCGCAGCCCCCCAAGCCCAGCGGCGCGCGCGTTGCCTAGCGCGCGGAAGCGCCGGGCAGGATCGGCAGTCATGACTGGGAGGTCCTCGCCGCGCGAGGGCGCCCAGATCACCGCGAGCACGCTGCTGCCGCGAGAGCGCATCGCCTTCGCGATGCTCTGCCACTCGCATTGGCTTGCGCCCCCGCCGGGGCCGCAGGTGTCGCCTCGAAATCCACCCGTCGCGCAGCGGCGGGCGATCTGCGATGAAGCACCGGTCGCCAGGCCAGCTCTCGAGAGCCAGTGAGAAAGCGAGCAGCTCAGCGCGAGCCACAATTTGACAAGGGCATTCGAGGCCCGACAGCATGCCTCCCCAGGAGGCCCACTCTCCAAGAGCCCGCTGTAAATTTATGGGAGGCGCATACTGCGATCGGCAATTGTAACAGGTCCGATCCAGCACCGCGCTCCGCTTGGGAGGTAGCGCGCCACGTGCGCGGGCCATGCGGGGTTCGGTTTCTGGATCCAGTTCCGCGCACGGTGGTGGCCGAACGCTAAGCCCCATTTCGCGCGTATACAGGCTGCGTTGATTTTCGCTATATATGCATGATTTACGGGAACAATCCGTGATTTGATTGTCGGGGAAGTAGACTGACTGACTGACTGACTGACTGACTGACTGACTGACTGACTGACTGAACTGAACTGAACTGAACTGAACTGAACTGAACTGAACTGAACTGAACTGAACTGAACTGAACTGAACTGACAACAGAAACACCAAAGCCGTTAGATGGCAAATTAATCTCCGGGTGGCCAGGATACTTCGCCGGCAGTTTAAATTAAAGGCAGGGGGGTGAAGATAATTCGCCGGCAGGTTTGAGCGAGGGACGCAAGGGCATTTCGCTCGCAGTTTCAAGGTCAGGGGGGTGAGGAAATGTCGCTGGCAGTTTTATTCGAAGGGCATGCGGATATTTCGCTGGCAGTTTCAAGCGAGGGGCGCGGGGATATTTCGCTGGCAGCTTGAAGTCAGGGTGGCGGAGATACTTCGGTGGCAGCTTCAAGCCATTGGGTCAGGGTACTTCGCTGGCAATTTGAAGCGAGGGGCGCGCGGATATTGCACCGGCATTTTCGAAGCCGCGGGCTGAGGAACTTTAGCTTGCAGTTTGGAATCAGGCGCCGCTCTTCGCCGATGATCTCGCGCCCGTCTCTCATCGCGGCGTTGGGGCGCGGCGCGACGATGTCACCCAGGTCCACGACGCCCTTTTTCGCTGACTGCAAGCTCGCGGCGACCCCCAGGGCAAGCTCAGCCTTGTCCATGGCCTTCTTCGCATTCGCTCTAGAACCTCGCGCAGCGACTGCTGCGCGACTGCGTCCACGTCGGTTGGAAGACCGTCGTCGCACTGCGCCGCCGTCTACTGGCTATAGCCACCCACTGGCGCGGGGGGGGCGAGCGAGGGCCCAAGGCTCAAGTCGATCACCTCTGGAGCTGCCGTCGGCGCTGGCCTCGGAGCACGGGGCGCCGACTCCGTCGGAGCCTGGGCCCCGGCGTCGCCCGCGTCGGCGTCTACCGCCGCCGCCCCCGCGGGAATCGCCGCCGCCGCCGCCGCGGGTTCTTCCCGCCAAGCACCCGCCGCCGGGGCCGGGGCCGTCGCCCCCCGCCGCCGCTCGAGCCCCCGCAAGTCAACCTGCTAGGCTCCCGCGCCAATCCTATTCAAGACTGGCTGCGACATGGCACCCGCCGCCATCGGAGCTTCGGACCGCTTCCCCACTGGAGCCGGAGCCTCTGCCGCCTCCCGAACCGGCGCCGCCGACTCCGCCGCCGCCACCGCCGGAGCGGTGGCCGCCGCCCGCTCTGCCAACGCCGCCGCCGCCGTCTCACGCCCAGGGATCGTTTCTTCGCCCTCGGCCGACGATGCCGCGTCAGCCTGCGACTCGCGAAGGGTGAGCGTCGAGGCCGCCCGCATCTGCTCCATCTGCCTTTGCATAAATGCGATCTGCTGGGCGAGCTCGATATTCTTGCTCTGGAAGTCTGCGACACGGGGGCTGTCGTCGCTGCTGGGCGTCCTGGGACCCAGGTCGGACCCAGGTCGAAAGCTCTGCCCAGGGGCGTGCGACGAGGACTTCTGGGTACGTCTGTCCCAGAAGAATCCTTCATAGACCACCTGAAGCCTGAATGTTGAAAAAACGGTGAGGATAAAGCTAAACGACGAACGCAACGACTACGGCGACGACCGCGGAGACGACTACGGAGACGACGAATGCGACGCCGCAAAAAGAACACGACGACGTCGATAACGGCGATGCCGTTTTCGACGACGACGCAGTGAGGACGCCGGGACTGAGGACGACGGTTGTGGGAGCCACGATTGCAATGGCGGCGGCGGCGTCGGCGGCGGCGTCTCACTTTGTATGTACTATTGTATATATAGATATCCCTCTCTCATTCCCTCTGTATAGTGTATCGGTTGTTGTTGTTGTTGTTGTTGGTGGTGGTGGTGGTGGAGGTGTTGTTGCTGGTGTTGTTGTTGCGATTGTTGTAGCTGCTGCCGCTGTGGCTGATGTTGATGTTGTTGTTGTTGATGGTGATGGTGGTGTTGTGGTGGTTATTTTGTTCCCCCACTCTCTATGTATCTCTCTTCATGCATCTGTCTGTAGACAAATAAGATTGTGTGTGGATGTCATCTGTTATCATGTCTCTTTCCATCTCTCTCTCTCTCTCTCTCGCTTTTTTTTTTTCTCTCTCTCTCTCTCTCTCTCTTTCTGTTTTGTCTCTCTCTCTCTGTTTTTTGTCTCTCGCTCTCTCTCTCTCTCTCTCTATCACTTACTCTCTCTCTCTCTCGTTCTCTCTCTCTCTCTCTCTCGCTCTCTCTCTCTCTCTCTCTATCGCCGTCTCTCTCTCTCTCTCTCTCTCTGTTGATTTTCCTCTCTCTCGCTCTCTTTGTGTCCCCCGATCTATTTACGTGCACACACACACACACGTAGATGAACATATGTAGTTCCATCTCTCTCTCTCTCTGTTTCTCCTCCTCCCACTCCTCCGCTTCTTCCTCCTCTCTTTTCCCAGCCGAGCACTTTCGGCAACTGATCACATGCAGTGTAAGACCATGTGCGTGTTGAAAGCTATGTTACATTTCATCGCGCGAAACGCAGACGCGTTTCTGTATAGTGTTGCATGAGCTCGCTTGGGCAAAACCCCGACCCGCATCACACAGATGAGTTCGATCCCGATTGGCATCACACCTTGATCGGAACTTCTAGTTGCCATATGGGGCCCGATCCCGTTTCAGGATCTGACGGGCCTCTGGGCTTAGATTAGTTAGAACAATATTTACATCCCGCCCTCCGTGGAGGCCAAAGACCGCCCAGGACCCAACCACCACCCTGGCCAGGGGCTCAAGATTTTAGCCCCCCAGCGTTGAGGGAGCAGGAGGGAGCGAAAAGGGGGAGCGATAGGAACGCTCCAGGGAGAGCGACGCAAATGCTCCGAGCTCATCGAACATTGGAGAACTGGCGGCCAACGTCCTGCCTGATCATATCATCCTGCCTCCTCCTGCTCCACTCTCGCACAAAGTAAGGAACGACTTCTGAAGGAAACGGGTCCTGACCTGGGAGCCTTTCCACCCGGACCAACTTTCCATCCTGAGCCAGCATTCTACCGTCTGACTGTCCCAGAACGAAGCAGGAACAGTCAGCATCGATTCGGCAAATCGGACCGATTCGTAATGTGTATGATCGGACTGCATCGGCATGGAATCGACATCGAATTTGATCGGTTGCGCCAAGATGAACAACAGCGCCGCGCAGGCATCGAGCCGCATCGGAACGCTGGAACATCGGAGTCGACTCGGATCGGACTGGCCGGAACTGACATCGAATCGGCTAGGTCGGGTCGAAATGGACCCTGCGACTACGTCCGGGGCCCGTTTCCCTCAGTCGGCGGAGAGCGAAGGGGAAGTGAGAACGGGCGGCCCTTCTCAGAAGGCTCGAAAGTCCAGGGGCCTTCCGAGAAAATTTCTAAGCCTGCCCCGAAGACGCAGAAAGCTTCTCAGAAGGCGCGAGGGCTTCTGAGAAGTCCCTTCTGAGAAGGCTTCCTCCTTCTCACTTCCCCACCTGACTCGCCGCCGACTTAGGGACCCGTTTCCCTTAGGACCTCGCCGAAGCGGAGGAGGAGGAGGAGCAGGAGGAGAACGAGGAGAAAGAAGAGGAGGAATCAGGGCCCCTGGTCGCCATCTCCCTGGAGTCGCGATTCCCCTGACGTGGAGGGGCAGGCGTAAGCATAACCTTGGGGCGGTCTGGAAAAAGTGACGGGGGGGTGGGGCGTTCGGTGGGGATCGGCTCAGGGGGGGGGGGAACCTGGAATCGGCGATACATCCTCGATAGATCGGCGAGAGACCCCCGCAAAACTGGGCGGCGTGGGGTGCCGAAGACCCGATTGGCGATGCAGCGGCGTTTGGGAGTCGATGCATCGCCCGCGCGTCCCTGGTCGGACACGGGACCCGCTTCCCTCGTCTCCTTCATGGCGATCCGCACCCCCTCCGAGGGCCGGGGCTCGC